GCTAAAAAGTAGAGAGATATAAATTGTATAATACCAATATTTTATTAAATTTCCATTTAGTGGTACCTTAAATCAATCTGAAACCACGATTACCTGTTGTATATTTCAACCAAAATTCACGAATGAAATATCCTTCCAGTTAGTGTCGTTTAAGCGATCATATAGCCTCATTTGAATGTCGTTCCACCGTTAGTTAAATTTATTGGACGACTCGCGACCTGGACGGACAACTCGGAGAGTTTTCCAGCTCGACTCCGCTGGAAAATCAATAAACGCAAAAAGCCCGGCCTACGGACAAGACATACAAATTTCCCAATTAAGCAGAACACGTTTCCTAACGATTATTTTATACAATCGAATCGAAACGAAACGAAGCCAATTAAGACTATCGACGACTGCCAAAGCGATTGCGTTAGTACGAATAAATCGTGAGGGGATTCCAAAGCGGGCTCCTTCGATTCGATTTGATGAATTAATGAATAAGTTGACGGGCCACCGACTGACGATCCACCGCCGGCTGTCAAATGCAGCTAAATGCAGGCTCAGGGGGCAGTGGCAAATGCAGCCACAATGTGCAACAATTGGGCGTGCATATTCGTTAGCGAGTGCCACCAACGTTGGCGGTGGTAATTGAGGCCCGTGTGGGTGGGGGAGTGGCTGCCATTTCCATTGCCTTTGCTTGACGAGCTGCAGCGCTTAAAATGTTTGCAGATTGCATTCAAGAGATACGAATGACAGACCAAACACGCAGAAAAACAGGGATTTCACAAGTTGGTAACAAACCCGAATTCCTTGAACAGGTAGTACCTTTGTCCATTTAGAATGAGAGTCTATAATATCTGTTAAACAAATTATTAATACTTTATTTATGTATTAGAAAGTATTCTAAATCTGTTTAATTAAATAAAAGCTAACTATATATTTTGTATGCTTACGTCCACAATTTTTAAAGGCAAGAACTTCAACCTTAAATCTTTAAGAAAATAAATTATTGATGTACATCTTTAAGGATAAAATTAAAAATGTATTCGTAAATACTTTAGGATTAAAGGAAATATTATAATATCGTGTATAATGCATAAGAATGTTATAATTTTTAATATTCCCTATAGAACTTTCTTCTCCTAAAACTGAACACTAGAACCCTTGTTAAACATACAAATATTTCAAACCTACTTTTTCCGGGTGTACCTGGGATGGCTCAACAATTGCGAGGCGCGCGATTTTCCATTTTTATGCGCAGCATTTCCACAATTCAAATTTGCACACAAAGTGGCAATTTGGCCCAAAACCGTTGCGAGCGCCTTTTATGGCCTATACAATCAGAGACGGAGCTGCAGACGGAGTTGCAACTGCCAACAGCCAACTGACGACTTGCAACCCGGTGAGGCAGCAGCAAAAGCAACAGCAACAGCGCATAATTGAATCGAAGCGCTCTTCGCGTTTCTTCAAATGAACGTCAATTAAAAATGCATCATAACCGCCCCCAGCGCCATTCCATAAACGCTGGCTTAATTTATTCCCCCATCGGTGGGCCGTGGCGATTCTGGCCATAAAGCAAACCAGTCCCAGGTAATAGTTGCGTATTAGTGTTATGGCACCCCGCCAGCCGGAACCCGATCTCCATTACCATCCGTTGCAGCAGCCAGGTGGTGTGCAACCCATCTACCCATCAACTCATATGTGTATCTTATGGCTACACTCACGATAGAAACTAGTACGATGGTCAGTTGATTGGCAGATCGGCTGATGGATTCGTAATGTGTGTCTAAGAAGTAAATTATCTCTGGGCAAATTGATTGAAATTGATAAGCAGCCATTTGTTCACCAACTCTGAGCATGCAAAATGTTTAATCAGATCTCAAAGACGTGATATTAAGGGTCATTAGCTCCGGTCGTTCATATAAATATCGAATATATATTGAAGACTTGGAAAATTGCAGAACATTATCTTAAATACTTGAGTGCAATGAAAATCATTGAAGAGTAAGTCAGATTAAAGACTGTTTGTAAAAGCTTGAGGTCATTATCTAAATTTGTTGTTCTAAATCAAAGTATATTATAAATATTAATTTTTAAAATTTCTGACTTTTTGAATTCATTCAATTTATGACTGTAACTTCTTACCGAAAAGTTTGAGTTGTAATTTTTATGTGCATATCACTGTCATTGAGTACGCCCATTCACATTACTTTCCGCCATCAATAACTATCTGGCAAATGGCTTAATTAGAAAGTTTTCAAGTGCTTGGAGTTGTCGTCGCTGAAGACTCCGTTGGCTGGTCTGTCCATGGGATATGGCTTCCTCTGGGCTCTCCGCTCCATCCACACCCTTAAAGTTGGCCAGTGGCGGGATCTGTGGATGTCGATGTGGATGTGGCCCTCGAGTTCGGGCCAAAGGCAGCCGGCTGTTGGCCTTACTACCCCTGGAGTGCAATCATCGGCGCCTTGGCGTGTTTGTGTGCAAAGCAGTCATAAAATTACAATAAACAATCATCATTTCGATCCGTTTACACCCACTTTGCACGTTTTCGCAGGCCGTGGCAAGTGAAAAAGGATTCCGCTCCGGCTTACACCGCTCCAGTTATTAATGGTACACTCAAAAGAAATAGTTGTGATTTTTACAAAACCTCTTAGCTGTCCAAAATGAAAGAGACAATATGTACATTAATATAATATTTATAGATACATTCTAATATTTCTTCGATATATAAATGTATGTGAACTTGCAAAAGAATTACTATCTTCATTAACAAATCGGAATCTTACATACATTTTCTGTAGAAAACAGAATGTGAACATGATATCATTTTATATTGAATCTTAAAGATAGCATTGTTGTGCGTTAGTTAAAATACTTTGAAAATAACATGTCTTTAAAAAATCCATAACTTAACTCAAAATACGTTTATATTTAAGGACTCACAATTGAAATTAACAATCCTTTTTTCTGAGTGTGCGAGGGAGGGCCGGAGAATTGCTGGCCAGCAGCTAACAAGTAGGCGAAAACCGCGAGGCACCGCTCTCAAACAAAAGTGCTCAATTAGTCGCCCTCAGTCCTCAATCCTCAAACCTCGAACTTCAGTCCTTCGGATTAGGATGATGATACGGGAAAGGGAGTTTGAAATGAAGAGCTGCCGACAGCCACATGCAAATGCTCTGCCAATTGTTTGATGAATTGCGGCGAGAAGTCAAGGGTTCATTGCCAGGATTAGTAGGTAGTATTCCGCCGCACCGAATGTCTTCATTGTGTCCGAGGAGTTTCTTCGGCCTGGTTTCGCCATTGTTTTGCTTTGGTTTTGGTTTGGATGGTCTGCTTTGCATAAGCAGTTGGTTCACAGCGATTTCGGACCGCAATTGATTTCTGACCCCGTAATGAGCCCATGCCCGGCACCACTGAGCCACTTTGCGGTGGATTAAGTCATCAAGTCGCAAACAAATTTTTCCCGCGGCGCCTGGGGCGTTTGCTTTGGAGGTGGGAATACGGTCAAGAAACCCGGAAGGGATTATGAAAGGCAATCGTGCCTGTGCCTGACACCTAAACCCTCCCTTAAGATGTATTCAAATTTAACAAATATGTATTAAATAGCTATAGACACAGTGGTATACCAAAAATCCTAACGATTAAATAAATTAAATAAAGAGATTATTTTAAACAGAGCTATTGTTCCCCTTATTCAGAACACCTTACAACCAATCGTTTATGACTGACATAGGGACATAGGGATTTTTACGGCCCCACTTGGGGCTGGTTAATAAAAAGGCAAACAGTTAAGTACTATAACAATAAGGTATAAAACCTGTTGCTGTTTTGGGCCCTTGTACCTATGTCGTACCACCAAATAGCAAATGAAACCATTTAAATTGTCGTAAAATAAATTTTATTGGCTCGTAAAAAGAAAAACCGGCAGTCGGCAATTAAATGCTAAGCAGAACAGAGCGGAACAAGATAGAATGGCATTTTAACAACTATATAAACAAATTGCGGTTAATACCAAAACACAGGGCGAGGTTTTATGTTCTTTTTACGACTTGACGCCACCGCCACTTGAGTGCCAGAAATCCGCTGCTAAACGGAGTCATCTGAAAATCACTCAAAGTGATCCGAACATCCCGGTTGGTTCGAGTGTCCTTGGTGATCCTGAGTGTCCTAGGGGATGTGTGTTCATTCCGGCAACGAGTGAGATTTCGAGTTTGAGTCTGCGGACTTTACGACCTTTTTACGATCTGTTAGTGTGACACGATGACAATCAATATAAAAGACATAAAACCCAAGTTCCGTGACGTATGCCATAATTATTGTGATATCCCCTTCGTGTAGATACAAATGTATCTGCGAGATGCTGATGGCCCATAGACATCATTACTTTTACGAGGTGCCTCGGATGCTGCCGCCGTTGCCTCTGCCGTTAGTTTGATGTGATGATGCCCGAGGAAATGGCGGTAAAATTTTATTCGAATGCATTTGCCTTCGCCGGGGCTCAGTGATTGCATATGGCTGTGGCTTTTATGGCATTTTAACGATTTGTTTTGACGTCGGATTTGGCCAGCATCTTGATGAGCCCTCCGGCAAGGTCGCAGCTCGTTGACGCCTTGATTTACGCACTCGCACTGGCGGAAGTTCATTTTCATTTCGATGGGGCCATAAATGTAGTCATATTTTGTTCAATTTGTTTTTACAGCGTTTTTATTATCACTTAGAGGAGTATAAATTAATATTACTAATTCTGCATAATTTACATATTTTTGGTAATGGTTTTCTTTTTGTAAACGAATGATATTGATCAAAAATTTAAATCTGTACTTTTTGAACACACTAAAAGTCATGATCATAGTGTTTAACGCTTACAGAATTTTAAAAATTTTTAAAAAATATTAATGATATCTTTTCTTCTTCATGTTTTCTAGAAGATCTTTTTAAAATACAAATTAAGTTGGTATAACTAAACATATTACAATCGAATCCCAATAGAATTCTCAACATTTAGAACCGTTTCTTAGGGGCGTCAGTTTTCAAGATGGAGGAACTTGAACTGTCTTCCCGTTTTTCCTCCAAAACGGCCGCTTCACTGGCAACATGTGTGGGGTGTCTGCCTCCGTTTCTGTTTCTGGGCCTGTTCAACGGGTTCCAGTTTCCAATGCAGTCGAATGCATCTGAAGTGCACTCTGGCCGGGTGTGTGCGTGTGTCTACATCCATATATGCGGTTATATTAAATCATCTGCTTGTAGTAAATCATGGCAGCAACTTAAGAGGGAGCGGGTGGAACCACAAGTACAGCACTGACATCCCAAGTCACATGGCATGAAAATGAAGTCATCTCGGTCCAATGGGAAGTGATAATGTGCTGTGGATTAGAGTTGAAAGTCGTTTAACAAAATCATATAAATAACCATTAATTTCTTATATTTAAATACAAAGAATTGATCCCCAAATACAATTAGACACTCAGAAACAGATACATGGAAATACTCGCAGGCGCCTCTTACTGACGGGCAAACAAACAGACAAACTGCTGGAATATGTTTTTGGGAAATAAATCAAAATTCTCATATTTGGCAAGGATGAATGCGGCCCAAATCGTCTGGCGCAAAAGAGAAAGTTGTTGGCCCTTTGTTTCCCTGTCCATTGGCCATGCCGGTGGTTTTGTTATCAGATGCTCGAGGGCGCGATCAGTACGAATACGCAACCTATATACAATATATACACAACATAGTACCTACCGAGGGACACCACCAATTTTACAGGGGATTTACGAATCCACCGTGTAACGAGGCCTATGCCTCATTCCCAATTTAGGCGACTGAGGCATATTTTTATGATTTATTACCGGGCCCGGCTATAATCGAGCTGGCATACTCAGACAATACCTGGGTGTCCTTTTTTGGGATCGGCGGAGATGCGATAACAGAGAGTCAAAACAAATCTCCTAAGGTCAGCTAAAAAGCATCGTTCGCCTTGGCATTTTTTAACGCTCTCGAGGACATGTTGAAAGGCAGCATTACCATTTCCATTTCCATTTATGGCTGCAATATTTTTTATGACACATTTTTATGATTTATGAATTGATTTGGTTTCGACTTTGGGTTTCCTCCTCGATCTACTATTATTTTTTGTGTGTCGTTTCGAGAAAGCGACCTTCGGTTCGAGTTTGTGTCCTGGGAGGGCCTGGCCTCAAAACGATTACCGGAGCATATTGGTATTATGATCACCTTCGGCGGTGCCTTTCCATAATTGTTCTTGTGAAATTAGGCGTTTTAATGTGACTTGTTTGCGGCAACTGTCTAGAAAATGCTAATAGGCTGGCTAATAATAATGAGTCCTAATAAAACGATGCACTAGGATTATGTTATCCATCCCAAATTAACTTTAATTCCTTTATATAAAATAAAACTCAATCTGGGGTAAAGTATTTGATAAATAAATAAAATTGCATACCGAGTTATTATTTAATACCCCTTATTGTCTTTTGAATTAATTAGTTATAAGAACTCTACACCTCCTAGGACAAATATTAATTTGTAAGATATGTTTTGGAGCTAACTTTTCCCCTGAGAATTAAGATAACGTAGCTGCGGTTTCCTCATATTCATAGCCCCTTGGCCTGAGTCACTCGAACAGTATGCGCTAAATGCAAAATCCTCTGGCGGAGTGCAATAAAAACTGAAAATTATTTAACCGACTACTCGACATGGTCTGCTCTGGAAATCTCCAGTGTTTACGTTGCGAAAACAATTGAAATCATAACAATAAAATCAAATTTGAAATTTGCGAGCGGTGGGCGGTTTGTAGGGAGTTGGACGGGATTAAAGGGGGAGGGGGCGGCCAAGTGGCGAGCGGGCCAATGGGCCACTAGTTGCGTCAGAGCGGCGATGTGAGAAAATTTCCAGCACAAGCCCAAATAAGCAAAGGTAAATGGCAAATGGGTGAAATGCTCAAGAAAATCAAGCCAACGAGGAGCAGCGCCAAAAAGCAGAGACAGTGAAACGAACGAAATGGCCATAAACTTAAGCCAAAATGCTCCCTCCGAGGGGAGGGTTCCAAGGGGGTTCCAAAGGGGTTTAGAAGGGGAGGAAGAATGGAACCCAACCAACCAGTTCGGCAACGCGAACTCCGAACTTAATCGAAACATCAAAGGAAGAAAGCCAGCCAGCCAGCAGCAGCAACAACAGCAACCAGTCAACAACCAGAAACTTATTAAAAACAACAAGTGCAGCTTGCTAAGCGAGTTGGCCAAAAGGGGTTGGTGGCGGGGGCGGGAAGGGTAAGACACGGAGGGTATCGGTACTGCCAATTTGGCTACCTATTCAGATCTGTCGTTTTTAAAAAGGAACTACAAAAGTAAAACCATATAAAACAGTTACGATTTTACATTCAGGTATATATTTTGTGGAAACATACTTTCAGGAATTTCGAAATATGATATATATTTTGTTTTTAGATACTTGTATTTTTTTGTACTGATCCCATAGTTTTAAAATTTCTCATTAGAGATATAACATTTATAGTACGAATCTGGTGTTAAGGGACATTAAAAACGTTTGGTTGAATAATGTTTAAAAATATAATTTGTTAAAATGAATTTCACAATTAGTAAACTATTTTTCCAATTTTTGTTAGGGAATAAATTCCGATCTGGCTTTTTCGGCTTTAAAGTCTGGTCTGCACTGGAGGGCATTCGTGCTGTTTGTGCAGTGGCAGCACGTCCCAACCGACATCGACAAGCTGCACTGAGCGAAAATATCAGTTAGAGGGGCAGCGCTGGAAGGGGAGCACTCAAAATGGGCACTTTCGGTCGCAATAACCACGACATTTACGATTATTTTACGGCCACTAAAAATCAAAAGTGTAATTTACGGAACCAAACCAAACTGAACCGAGACGAACAATGAGACGGAGACAGGGACAGCAACACGACCAGCGAAAGAGACGGCAAGTGTCGACGAAGGAGCGATGAGACCGTATCTGTATCGGTGTTGCATCAGTTTAGATGAAGTTGAATCCAGGGATATGGGGAGCAGGATTTCGGGGCGGTGCAGAGGTCAGTGTGGCGTGGGTGGGTCTCGATTTCCCAGTGGGGAGCACCAAAACAAAGCCACTTCACAAATACTTCCTGCATCGTGAACTGTGACTCACAATAGTTAACTAACTATTCATTTGAAGGTATTTGTGGATGACTAGTTACCAAAGTATTCAATAATGTATTCCTTAATTTAGTTAAACCCATCGGTACTAATCGATGAAGTACGATATTATAATACAAATAGTTCTGTCTATTTTCAAGATATATTAAGAATCTACAAATCAATTATCACTTAAAAGACTTATAAAAGACCCGGAAATGTATATTATTATTATTAAGTAACTAGTAGTAGTATAAAATTTAAATAAAAAGAAAATACTTTAGTTCTGAAGTTCTTCAAGAAATCACAAGAAATCCACTATGCAGAGTTATAGAGAACTAATGATGGCTAGAGTTTCAAATGGAGAGTGCTGAATCGGGGAGAATATGCCGTGAAGAAAACCAGTTGATTGCTAACTGGATGGACATCGCCGGCAGCCAAATGAAAAGCAGACTGTGCCTCCTTCGGTTCCTTTCTCTGCACTTGCTGGCTGTCTCTGTTATGGCTCGAATCTTTCTTTATTTTTCCTTATTTCTTGGCCATCACATGTGCAACTCGAAGCCAACAACTCCAGTTCGGAGCCAGAGCCCTCTTCCGCCCACTCCACTTCCCCTGATTGCGATTGGTGTTCTGTTTTAGCCGTTTTAGCGGATGGCGATGGCTGGATGCTGCGAATGTCGAAAGCGCATCGCGTTGAAAGATGATTTTCATGTTTTTCCCCCTCAACGTCCCCGGAATCCCCCCAGTTTTTGAGCCGGAATCGTGGCCCTAACGATGCTCAAAGTAATTTTGTTGTCTTAACCGCGTTTACTGACATCTTGATGCTTTGATTGCTCCGATTTTGAATGGAATCGTTTGCGCTGCAACACCCGCACTTGGCTTTATGCGCCATTGCCATTATCGTCTCTGGCAAGTCGGGGAAATTGAATTGAAGTCTTTGATTGGCAATATGCTCTGTTGACCCCTTAACAAGTTGGCAGTCGATCGTTAACCGGAGCGAAAAAAATCGGAGAGAGCTAATATAAAGAAAACTCAATTGGAAAATGTAAGATAATGGTTGAAAGAAGAGTGTTTCTAGACTATTTAAAGACTGCATTCTTTAAAAAATACTAAAAAAGGTAAAGCCCAAACTTTCCATTAAAAGAACAGTACTTTGATCGAAACATAGCAACTAGTTGTCCAAATATGGAATGTCATACATCGTTGAACTCGTAACGAAATTCCCCACAAAATGGCGTTCAACCCTGAAAAATTTAATTTTTGGCCCATTTTAGCAAAAAAAGTGATGTGAAGTTAAGTGATCACAAAATTTGACGAAATTTTATTTTATTTAAATCAATGCAAAAAAGAGATGGCTCGTTAGATAGATAGGAAAAAACGGTAATTTTTACAGCTGTGGGTCTTTTATTAACAGAATTACGAAAAAAACAAGTAAATATTACAGTTTTTACCATAATATCAACATCCTAATTTACAACAAAAAATTGCAGTATTTTGCTCGAAACATAAAAAATAGTTGTCCAAATATGGAATGCCATACATCGTTGAACTCGTAATAAAATTTCCCATAAATTGGCGTTCAACCCTGAAAAATTTAATTTTTGACTATTTTTTGCAAAAATATGTGATGTTACCCCTTATCAAAAATCAAAAAAATTGATAAAATTAGCTTGTTAGCTTGGGTTGTTAGCTGCACAAAACAGTGATTTGTTTAGCTGTGGCTCTCTATTTAACAGAACTACGACGAAAAAATACAGATTAAAATTCCTGTTTTTGGCAAAATTCCTACCTCCCTATTTACCAAAAAAATTAAACAGTATTTTGTCCAAAACATTGCAACCAGTTGTCCTAATATGGAATGTCATACATCGTTGAACTCGTAATAAAATTTCCTACAAATTAGCAATTAAACCTAAAAAATTTAATTTTTTATCCTTTTTTGCAAAAAAATGTGATGTTACCCATTATAAAAATCACAAAATTTGACAAAATTTTATTTTTATTAAATCAATCCAAAAAAGGTATGACTCGTTAGTTTAAGTTGCCAGCTAGATTATTGAGTAATATTTTGTAGCTGTGAGACTCTGTTTAACAGAATTATGACTAAATAACTCAGATTAGAATTCCTGTTTTTGCCTATCCTATCCTATCCTAATTTTTCACAAAAAAAACACAGTACTTTGTCCAAAACTTTGCAACCAGTTGTCTCAATATAGAATGTTATACCTTTCTGAACCCGTATTAAAATTTGCTATCAATTAGCGTTCATACTTGAAAAACTTTACTTTTGACCATTTTTTTTCCAAAAAAAACCCCGAAAAACAACTTTAAAAAATTCAAGATTTGGTCTACAAATTTTGTTTCTTAGCTTGGGTTGTTAACGGATTAAAACTGTCATTTTTTAGTTAGGACGCCTTTATAACTAAAAATAAAAACTACGTAACATTCAATTTTACATATGTTACGTAACAGAACAACTTCAAAGGAGTAACAGTGGCTCTAAAACTGGACAGTCAAACTGGCTCTCAAACTATGATGACAGAACCCATAGATGGCGCATGCAAAACAGTGCTGCCATCTGGCGAAAATCTTGCGCAACTCCGTCCCTTTTCCGTTAATTTTCAAACGGAGTAAATGGTTTCAGGTAACTTCTTATTTTGTGTTTTCAATTGGGTAAATGTTTCACTGACTTCTTTTTTACAAATATTCTGATATGTTTTGTTGTCCTGCTAATTTTTGTCTTATTTTTGTCCAGCAATTGTTTTTATTTTTGGTCTTCTTGCAGAACATCGCTCATCCGCCCCCTTCTAGCGACGTCTGCGCCGCAGCAAGTCGAAACTGGAAATGTGGCGCGGTGGTTGAACGAGCCAGAAAAAATTCAGCATTTCATCACTACCACCAGCATGAAAATGGGCTTGGCCTTTTCGTTTGAGTGAGTATTTCGAGGCGCTCGTTCTCCTCAGTTCTCCATGCTCCTCTCTCTGTTTTTCTTCATGATATGTTAGCCGTCGGAGCTAAAGTAAAAATTCTGGTTTCTTTTCTTCATAATCTTAAGGTTTTTTTTTGGTTTAGTTAAGGGTTTTTCTTTGGGTAGAACTAAGGTTTTTATATAAAAAAGTTATTTCTCATCATTTAGGTTTTTAGTCTTTCATAGAGCAAAAACATTTTTCTTTTAATCACGCCTTTTCCAGCTATTTAAAAGTAAAAAATTAATAATTCTAACGATTAAAAAAAATGTTACGCACTTAAATTGTAAACAAAGATCTAAGGTATTATCAGCCCTTCGACGGCGAAATTAAGAAAAATCAAAAGTATTTTACCAGGTGTAAAATAAATAAACAGGACATATAATTGTATATAATTTTTTATCAAATGAATATTACCGTAGTGGAATAATGTGAGGGACTACAAATAAATCTAATTAAACCTAGTTGCTTTGCCCAACTTTGCGTTGTGGTTTACTTAATATCAAAGCTATATCATCTACCTTTGACTTCTAATTGGCAAAACCTAGGTAGTCAAAGTAAAAATAAATAAATAAAATAAATGCTTACAACTATTATAAGTATTCAAAAGTAATAGGCAGATGTTGCGCTTAAGTATTCATGGCAATCGCTCCCTCCATCGCGTTGCAACTTCGCTTTCAGGTTTGCGGCACAACTTAATTGAATTCATAGAGCGTGTTGGCCGTGCACCCGTACAGTGAACACCGGGAGACGGGGACGGTAGCCGCCTGACGAGTCCACAAAGTGTGATCTATGAAATGTGTGTGAGTTGGCCGTGGACAAGCTCTTGGAAAACGTTTTATTCGAATTTAATTCAAAGTGTTTCTAATTCGCCGGGGCATTGATAATTTCGCAGGAATAGAGTCGTCACCGGGAATGGACCGTGGAGTAATTTCATTTCACGCTGCCTCAAATTAAGTGCGCAATTCTGACAGCCCGAGGTGGGGGCAACGAAAATCGCTCGACCTTGCCACCATCGAAGTTGGCCCATTGTGTTGAATCAAGTTTCAGTACAAATTTGTACGATTTCATATTTACCCAGCACCACAAAACGACGCCAGACAATGGGAAACTGCTTAAAGATAGCTGCCGGGGCACAAAGCACCCCAGGAGCGTCTCGTGGTGATTATGGACTCGGGTTGAAAGTCGGGTTGAAAAAAAGAAGGGCAGATAAGTTATTGTTGCCGGCGAAAAGCAACCCCTGCAAAGGGATCCTTAAAAATAGGACAAGATATAGATACACTCGCACACATTCATCTGCCCGGAGGGTGCGTCGTAAAAATGAGTTACGAGTCCTGCCATTTTAAATTAAAATAGCAGGCAGCCTCCATTGTGGCAGCAAGATGGAAGAGGCAAAAGGAAAAAGGTCAAAGGCCACGCATTCCCACCCTGAAAATCCAATCCAGCGGACAAAATGGTCATGTTGACAGAAGTAAATCTCTTGAATTATCGCATTAGATGCCGCATTCTCACAGATACATAGATTCAGATTCCCGGCCCGATGAAGCCATGTCGTAAATAATCGAGATCGGAACGTCGCCGGGGTATTATAAAGGATTTTCGGGCAGCCCTGTTGATTTAAGCATTCTTCCTGTGTTTGTTTGAAATTTGAAAGGGGTTCCAGACAATCGCCACCCCATATTTAAAGGTATCCTCCTGCCACCAAGATTGATCGACAATTTACTTTTATCTCATTTGAATGTCAAGGTTATTAGCAATTTTAATTTTGGAACTAGCGCATTTAACAAAATTAATATTGTATCTTGAGATTTAATAGAAGGTAATGGCTATACACCGGTTTATTTTTAAAGATCTTCCCGAAATGTATAGCTCCGTAGTAGTGAACATTACTTATCTTTGAATTAATGATTTAAATAATTCATCAGTTGAATTATTTTAAGTACATTTCATATATTTTCATGGTCATTACAACATTGTAATATTTTTGTAGACAATATGTACATTTTTGAACTGGAAAGCAGGAAATCGCCTTAAAATTGTAGGAAACAATTTCCAAAAAACTTTTACATGTTCTTAGGAAATTCTTCCTAAAAGTTTAAGGCAATTTTTAAGTTATCTGACAAGCACTTGATTCATTCTGTTCGAATATTCCAATTTGAATGATATTATATATATATTTCCTCACTGAACCACTGTGATGGTAAAGTACTCCTCGGGGGCCACCAGATACTCGAACTTACGAGTGGCCAGGCGCATGAAGCAGAGTTTGTTGGAGGGGTCAAGGTCACGAATTACACTTTGGCAGGTGCCCACCAGGAGTCCATTCAAATGCTTCACAATCGCCTGGGCACTTGTGTTATCGAAGGACGTTTCTGCCACAGCATTTGCCATATTGTCGGAGACCACATATCCCAAAGTGTGCTCCGATAATATGCGATCCACCATGGTTCCATTCTGGTGGATCACCTGCTCCAGGATGCGATTCATTATCTTCCGTATTATATTGTGTGGAAAGTAGTAAATTGTTATGTATATGTTTTGCGACTGGGAGTGAGTTGACTGGTCTGTGTGATTTGCTTGTATGTACTGAATTCTTTTGGGAGGTTGTTCAAAGAAATACAAATTTTACTTGATTTAAAAGGCTCAGGGGTCTTGAAGTTAATAACTTCCAAAAATGTATGTTATAGACTTTTATAACAGTTATTGATGAAATTAAAACTGATATAAATAATAATTAAATGAATAATACTGATCCTATTTAATTTTCAATAGCTTCAAAGGTCATTAATTTTTTAATATAACAGCTATACATTTTGAAATACACTCATTAGCTCCCGTATAAAATTAAAATGGTTTCTATACTTTCCCTCTAACCACTTTTAAATTAATCCCCCATTTCCAATATTTTTACATCGGATTTATAATTACAGCACACGCCTATCGCGTTGATTGAATAAGTGTTGGTCCCTCGCCCATCGCAACAGATGGCAGTGGGCTGGAATAAATTAAACTTATCGGAGTTTTCTTATCTCGCAGGGGCCCTTGATCCCCCCACTCCCCCTGGATTCCCCAATGCCATTGAACTTGCCCTCCAATTGGATCCGCTCAGTCGCTGAGGTCAGTTCGAATTACTGCACACAGAACACACAAAAAGTGATATTCCCGCCCAAGTTCAAGTGGTCGCGTGGCTTCTCCTCCCGCAGGCGAGCTCATCAAGCCGTTTTCATTTAATTTTCATGCACATTTAATGGCGTCTGTTATTGGCTTTTAACGAGATTTCCACTCCAACCCGCCGCTGTATTTTTAGGTATCCGTCTAATTGACTTTTTGACTTTGAACCGCTTTGTCGCAGGTCGTTGACTCGTCGGCAGCGACTTAAACTAACTCTGGGCTTAGCTTGAAGCCTTAAAGCTGCTAGACTGTCATAAATCAGAGCTAGCAGAGCTGCAAATACTGACTACTAGCGGGTGTTTAGTATTTAGTACAACACTCATCTGAACCAGGCTCATCTGTATTCAGGGCCCCTCGTCGCCTCGACTCCTCGACTCCTCTTCTCTTCGGGGAGAAGTGCTTGTCGGACAAGTCCAGAGAGTGCATATGGGAGTGCATGTCCCTCTGGTTCCCCGGATATACATACGTTTATCCCCATATCCCCAGATCGACCAAAATGGCCACTCGAGCGCCCACAACGGCCATAAAACACTTTCGGACATGCTGTTGGCCCAACAAACAACTCTCAACTCTGCTCCGTTCTTTTCTCCCCGAGCTGGTCAATAAAATGTGCATAAATTCCGATGCCATTCAACGGCAACCCGAAACTCGCCGTTTCTGACCATCCAGAAGAAGGCTTTGCATTTAACGGGTCGACCTACAAGGTACAGTGGGAAAATGTTCTTTTTTGCCAGTCTTATAACTTAACCTCTTTACGGTAAGGACTCTCTCTTGACCAGTTAAATCCGTTTTTTGGATTTCTCTAGAATTTTCATTAATTTTATTTTTTTCTGGAAAAGACTGCTTAGTTTTTTTTGTAAAACACCAAACTTTGAAAGTATTCTGAGAGCTTTTGTTGACCGCAACGTTTTTTCATCATAAAATTTCTCAAGAATTCGCGGTACATTGAGGATAATATCTCCGTATGATTTTTCTTGTACATCTTAACTGTAAAACTTCAATAAATTTTAGTTTTTGACAAAATTAACCTTGGTTAAACTGAAAATATTTAAATTACCAATTGCTTATTTCTTAAATTTCAATAAAAATTCTTTTCTCCCATTGTAAAGATTTAAATTTTCGCCAAATCCGTTACCCCTTTGGTCATGATTCATGACCGCCAAATGCAAAACGAGAGATTTGTGGCCGGGAAAATGAATTGTGTTCAAGTTCGGGCTCGGTGCCATTTCAAACTATGCAAAATGCGATCTCATAAATCCCCTGAGCCCAAGTTGGACTATTTCACTATCTCTGGGCCCGAATTCGGTTTGGGTTTTGGGCTTTGGGTTTTGGCCCCGGGGCGGGATTAGGCGGCAAACGTTTATCCGAAAGCGAGATACTCGGCGTTATGCCGGCGCCATAACTCATTTAATTAGATGACTATCGCTGTTTAGGCATAATTCATCCACCAACAGAGGAAACTTACCCAACCCCACTGAGGGTGGCATCAAAAACGATAAATAACGCCCAAAAAGAATGGAACTTAGGAAATGGAAAATTCCTTCGTTAATTAGAAAAACCAACAGACCAACTGGCAAACTGAAATTAAATGAGAAAAACTCAAAAAGACAGAGAAAATAGAGGACCTGGAGTGGCAATTTGAAAACACTTTCCCTGTCTCCTTTCCCAAAAATGCAAATGAGCTGCCCGAGCTGGAATACAGGCCTTTTTCGAGGTCCGGTCATTGGCCGGCGGTCAGTTCTGGAACGGTGTATCTGGGTATCTGTATCTGGTTTTTTGCCCTCTGTTTTGGCCCTTTCATTTGTGCCACTCGAGCGGCGAAAGGGACACGTCGCACACACATGGCACAAATTGGCCGAGGGCTTCGCCTTTTGTCCAACTGGCCCAAATCCTATATCCTTCAGCTACCCTTTCTTGCACCACTCGGCCCACTGACACAATTCCCCGCTTCGCATATCACCAGCATCTGAAGCCCAGTTTTGATTACGGACTCTGAAGTTCCCATAAATAATGTGCAACACACATATAATACATGGTACATGCGGACTCACCTCAACGCGTTCTGAATTTCTAATGTGCCCAAAATGGAGAACGGTCCTCGAGAGTTGTGTAATATACCATATCCTGGGGTGGCAATCGGATGGCAGGACAATTTATTTGCTGTGTGAGTGCTCTGTAATTGAAAATTAAATGGAAAGTGTTAAATGGGCTTATGGATAACTTGAGATAGTCTACTAAAACTATTTAGCCCTTATTGTTAGTGTACTAAAATCACATTTTCAAGTATATTTATAGGTAATTTAAAAGACTACAGGCCTTTAAGTTCATTATTGAACTAGTTTACCAAAATTTTTAAGGATATACAAATTTAATACCAAATTTTAGAGTTATTATTCAGTATTTCTTACCCTCTAACAAACTCAGAGAAACCGACTCAAAATACAAAAACCCACTCAAATAAAAAACTCCAAATTAAGCCAATGATTACTCATTAACACATGATTTCATTATTTTTATCGACAAATTGTCCAATCATCTCATTTGAGATGGACAGAAAACAATAAAAACTGTGAAAATATTGCAGCCCCAAATTCGTAATCCCATTGACAAATGGCATTATTTGCTTTTCGAATTTATGTTACGGTCTTCTAAATAACAACCAATTTAAGGTATTTATCTTTAAGAAGCGTAATTTCGTATGCTAATTCCTTTGGCAGTTGGTTAGCTAATTTATGAAAGCGGCGGACTTGGCCAAAAAGCGATCTGGTTTCGACCAGCTGAAAAAAATACTTGCGGTCCGAACAATGCAAATTTTTATTAGCCATGAAGTCGGCCATAAAAGCCATTTCGAACCGCTTGAAATCGTTGCTCTCCACTGGAGTACAAATTGTTAGAAGAGGTGCAAAACGGCGCGATTAAATACATATCTCGGGTTAATTTTAATAACTTCATGAGACTCGTTTTCGGGCCAAATAAATTTAAAATGTTAATCAAAAACAAACAAAGTATTGAATATCAAGTTTCGGGCGATGGCAATCTTAGAACTCGAAGCGAAATCTCTGCCAAAACAAAGGAATTGAGTTCATTTAGTTTTATGGTCCCAAAAAAAGGTGGGAGATGCTCGAAAAAAAATTACATTGAGCTAACAACAAAGACGCACACACACACACTCTCGCACACAAAAGCCATTGAAAAGATAAATTTCTTAATTTAAATTCAGAGTCGGAGTGAATCGAGTTTTGTTCGATTCCACCCTCGAACGATTTTCATTTCCGTTACAAATGCTTTTCAATTTCGCCCGGGCCAAATTCAATTTTCAAACGTTTTATTTCGACAACGTTTTGATTTAGTCGCGCTGGCTCTGAATATTTTACGAATCGGTTTGGATTTTCTGAATCGAAATTGGGCTTGGGCCGCCATTTTCTGGCTGTGCGCGTTTGTGTAACTATGGAATATTTATTATTTAAATTTCTCGACTGCGTGTCGGTGGCCCTAAATCATGCGACAGGCTCATTCAAATCCAACCAACTCTCGCGCCCAAAAACACTCGCATATACGTAAGTTGTGTTGTTTTTTCGACGCATGATTTAGGTGCAGTCATAAATTCAATTTTAAGCTTTTTGGTATTTCATTTCGGTCTGGGTCTGGCCGGGGATCTGGTTTTGGGCCCCGAGTTTCGGGGGGTTAGGGGTTCGAGGTTCGGTGCTCGGGGTCCGAGGCCAAGATAAACACTTGACAACGTGCTAAGGCCGGCACTGGCAACGCGATAAGCGCATAAATAAAGCCCCCCGTAATAAATTCTGCGTCACATTTGACACCCCGCCATCGCATCTGTGGGCGCATGGGCGTCGAGGGGGGCTTCCACCAGTGACACTTGGTCCTCCAGAGCCACTCTCGACCTCTTGGCTTAACTGTACCATGCATCATCCGTAGCACTTCGGAGGCACCATTAAGCTCTTTTCCACTCTTTTTTCAAGACAACTTCTGGGGACGTTTATATGGCGTTTTAGGATGCTCTTTGAATATTTATGGGGCAAAGCTAAGACAATATCGTTTTTCTTAGCCAGCACATAGTAAACATAGCAATATATTTTGTGATTAAATAAATTCTTTTGATTCTAGTTGAGGAAATTCTACCAAGAAGCTTAAGAAACTTATAAGAATGATTTATATTAAGTTAAGGTATACGGTTTTTATGGTAGATGAGATTATAGTAAGATCTTACTGACCCGTCAAAAGAATTACATTTTGTGGAGTCAGAATCTGAAGCCAATAATGGTAAAATAGAATAATTCTCTTTCTAAAAGACCAAATCGATTGTATAATGGAACTGCCTTTCTTTCAGAGGTCGAACCGCTAAGGATCTGCCAGCTGGTCAGCCTTTGTCCGAGTGCTTTTACCGTGTCATAATTACCTGGCAGGACTACGGGAAATATATGACATCTGCGTCGATGGAACAAAGGGGACTGGAAGGGAAAGGAAAGGATAAAAATCCTGCAGCCAGCTATTCACGGCAATCAAACAGCGCAGCACACGCGGCGAAAGGATGCGGCGCTGGGTGAGAGTGCAGAGTCCATTAAAAGGACATTCCACGCTTTCGATCCACATGTGTCCTGTGAAAGGACGTGCCGTGCCAAAAGGACATGGCACCTTGTTTGTTTTCCCACCGCCCAATGTCTCATATTTTCCTTTTTTAATTTTTGTAAATTGAAAACTCTGTGCGGATGCGGATGCAGCATTGCGTGGCAATTACACAAGCCCTCAGTCCGAGTCATAAATTCCATCCTTTGCAGGGAAAACCAAAAGGAGTAGCTTGCCACCAGGGGGTCTGGGCCTCCATTCGAGACACTTCGAGGTGGCCAAGTGGCCGTGCAACATTTCATGTCGTGTTTACACTCACTTCCCGATCGCTCCCTCCCCTTCTCCTCGAGAAAAAAATAAAAAAAATCCAACAAGAGGGTCAGGATATTAAAAACTGCAATTAACTGCGGCCAGTGCCTCCAGTTTGCCAATTACCGCCAGAGTTGTGAGCCGATGCGACAGGTTGCGGCCCGTCTTATTTATATTATTAAGTTTCTTTTTTATAATTTATCAATTTACCTTTTCCGCGACCGCACAACGTGCAAGTGCATAATGGGAATCGGGCTCTTGAAAACAATAATTACTTGGGGTTATATGTAAGCGGGTATTTCATTGAGTTTCCCTTCGTTCGGCGGGAGATACAATGTTGTCTTTTAAGTATATGTATGCCGGAACGTTATTACTTCAATACGTACTTCGGTGTTTATAAGAAATGTCATTAAAAATAAAAGAAAAGTTGAGACCAGTTTCGCAAGAAAATATTACTTATACGCCATGTGGTCCTGTTTTAATAGTTAAAGAATTTCCGAATTTGTTTCTTTTGAAATTCTTAAATTTACGAAAAATGATATTATTTATATCCTAGTTGATTATTAAATATTAATATACAAATATTGTAATAGAAAATGTTATACAAAAATCTTTAACCTTTTGACTCAACCAATTTTCCTTTGTAACTTAATTTAAATTTGTATAATTATTAAAACACCAATTTACTAAGAGGAAAAATATTTTTTGATGTTGAAATATCTGAAGATCCAATCCCGAGAAAGTGCCACCCAAGAAGCGTGGCGCCGCGGAAGAAAACAGTCGTATTTTCGGGTTCTTTGACCCAATTAGAATGCATATGGCTGGGGAAATTAGAAAATGGGCAATTCGGTAATTCGGCGTGGATTTCGTGGCGGTTTCCAATTTTGAATTTGCCAATTAAATGTTTATCTCTGGCTAATTACCGACGCCTTTGGGCCACAAGAACAACAACAACGACCGCCCGACGCCGGCATTATTCAATTAAAAATTGTTGCTGTTGCGGGGGCTGTGTATCTTTTGTTTTTCTCGTTTTTGGCACGCACTAAACCCCATAAAAGTCATAAAGACCCGCATAAAACCCATAAAAACCATAAAACGAAAATGAAAAGAATCTTAAAAAGCGGCGAGCAACAAGAAGCGATGAATTTCAAGAGGGAAAGAGGAAGTGGAAGGGGATGGGGAGGTGGAAAAACAAGTTTAAGGTGATTTCTGATTGATATGGAAAAGCACTCGCAACATGTTCGCTGCTCTCGCTTTTCCACTCGCTTTTCCCGTCGCCTTTCCTTTGAGTGGAAGTTCGCCTGTTGCCTGGGCGCTCTCTTCTCCGTTTTCCGCTTGGCTCTTTTTTTTCAATCAGTGCCCGAGCACAATGATTTTTATTTTTATGCGCCAACGTAACGATCTCGTTTCCACTTACTTAAATCTACATTTTAACTGCCTGGCACATTTTATGTCCCCTTCTAACAGCCGTGTTAGATGGGCAGATGCGCGCGCTCTTTTTTGGCGGCTCTCTCGCTCTTGCAAAAAAAGTGCGAAAGAGAGCGGGCTGAAAGAGAGCTTGTCCTTTTTCTACAGGCTTTTTTCAGGCTGCCAAATGTTCACTGCACAATTAAATCAATACAAATTAATAAGCAAACATGGGCAAACACAAAGAGAGGGAGAGCGAATGAGCCAGAGAGAGCAGGGCAAAAGAGAGCGGCAGACAATTGAGCCACATTCAGCAAACGATTATGAGGCCATCTCAGTCGCACTTAAAACGGCCATTACGAACGACAGTTATGGCGACGACGCCAGCAGAGGCGGCAGCTGCGCTGCGCCGCAACGACGGAGAGCGTGAGAAAAGCCATTCTCACGAAGAGCTGCGTATCGATTATGCTCAACGGCCGATTTACTTGTCTTAATGCGAGAGCGACACGTGGCGTCGTGAGATGGGGGTGAGAGACAGAGAGAGAGGGACAGAGCAGCCATCTCGCTCTGGCCGCTCATTTCTTACGGCGCAGCCATTATGGTGCGCGCAGCCCTCTCGCTCGCACGCCCAGGCCAGCCCTAGCTGCATCTCGCTCCGACACATAAAAGACGCTTGATAGCCCTCTCTCTTTTTGAGTTATCGGCACTTTGGCTCTGCCGTTATGGCTTCCGTGTGAAGGGGGCGTGGCCTAGAGAGCAGTAGCATTTCGCACTGGGGTTTTATGGCTCATTTTCGGATTTTGAGTGCGTTCTTCCGCCGCTGCTTCTTCTTCTTTTCGGGCTCGTATTCGTATTTCGTATTTTCTGGGGCTTCCA